AATGCCGCACAACATAATTCACAAGGTTTTACAAGGCAATACAATGACTGAATTGATGTCCAAAACAAATAGTAAAGCCTGAGTGGCTTATTAAAGTCATTTCAAACGCTCTGCTGAAAAACTGATAAGATTATAAATATGTTTCCAATAACAAGCAGAACACTTATGCAGTAGTCCAGAGCTCTGCTCCAGCAGTTCAATTAATTATCTGAAGAAAATAGATAGTAATCAAAAGGAGAATGGAAGCGAGTTCAGTAGGAATAACTCTAAGTGTACATAAACTGATCAGGTTTCATTTTAATTTCTACCGGCACCCCTTTCTAGAATTATTTATAGCCAGCAATATTAGAAGGTGACATGGTGATTTCAAATCCTTCAACCTCTGAGATAAAGGCACTATACAAATGTAATTTTGTATTGTATATGGGTTTGAATGCAACCCAGATGACAGATGAAAGGACTAAATCAATCCATTTCTCAACTTCTCAATCTAAACTTGAATTTGTTTTCAAGTCTTTCGAGGGATGCTGAAAAGCACAATCAAAACGGAAAGTCTTGAGACGGACATTGAAGGAACTAAGGGGTTGAGGTAGACGGATGGAGTTCCAGACAGTAGGAGCAGAAAAGCTGAAGGCCCGACCACCAATAGTGGGACAGGTGGGGCAGGGGACCTAAGCAGGCCACTGCCCGCCGAGCAGAGGGAGAGGACAGGTTGGTATGGTGTTAATAGGTCACAGAGGTACGGATAAGCAAGGCCGTAGGCGGCTTTAAAAGAGCAAGGATTTTAAACTCGATCCTCTGAGCGATAGGGCGCAAGTAGAGCCAGATGAGGATGGGGGTGATCGGTTCACGGAGCTTTGCATGGGATCAATGAGATGGCTATGGATGTGGGTGGCAGAAATGATGTGGAGGGAGAGGGTGTGAGACACTATCCTGGGGAGTGCACTCTGGAACACTACCCTGCATGAGTGGCACTATATAAATCCAAGTTGTTGCTGCTGTGGGAATAAAAGAGGGAGGAGAAGTCAGTGGAGGTGGAACAAGATCAGCTTCAACTCATTTGGAGTCCTATATCATAGTGGTTAGAGCACTCGCCTGGCAAGCAAGAGTATCTCACACTCCTGAAGTGGACATTTTCCATTTTAGGCAAGTTTCTTTACTCCACACACCTCTTTTTACCTTGCAATAAGTAGGAACCCGGTTGTTAGTCAATTGGTGGATCACTTTTCTGGGGATAATAATCCCTTCAAAAAAATAATAATAATTTGGCCACTCAATCTACAACTGTTTGTGTGACACTGCTGTGCGTAATTGGCTGCCTCATTTCGCCCACAAAATACAGTCAATTCACTTTACAGTATATTCTGTGAAGTGCTTTGAGACGTCTCAACTAAGTGATAAAGCGCCCCACTATCTAATGCAAGGATTATTATTATATTTTTTAATTTACAAGGCAATTAATTCCTAACTCAATTTGAGGACTTTTTTCTCCCCAATATCAAATTTGTACAACTTACAGTCCTGAACAGTCAGCTGAAATAAATCTAATTTTGCTTCATAGTCTCTGGTTTTCTACAGACAGAATTATCTCAGAAGCAATCAGCAATTTTATACAAAATCAGCTCTGTCAGGGTTTAGAGTCCTCAGGCAGTTTTCAGTAGCATACAATATCTCCAAACATTGCAGTGCAGTGAATCTTTCTTCTTCTGGTGTGTTGCAACTGATACCTGCAGCTGATCCTCCAGAGAATTAGCTGTCGTATTGTGATCTGGGATGAGATTGCTTGTCAAACAGAATCATATTAATATCACTTCCAGTCATCGTCCAATACATTACACAGGCTGAAAAATTCCATCTCACTATCATCATTAAGACTAGCAATGAGGCCTTATTTCTTTTTGGATTTGTGCATTTCAATAGTTCTGCGTTTGAATTACTTGCATTAGCAGCAAAGAAAATAATCCACTAAAATCAATTGTTTTCCAATTGCTTTAATTTATATTTTTCCCCTTTAAACCAAATTAACGCAACACCTCCAACAGCAATTTTATTGCAAGCCCTGGAGCAATATCAAAAATCTCAATGAAAATATTCTGAGTTTCACTGAGACTCCATTGTACAAGAGAAAAATATAAATTCATCCCCAATAGGCTTTATTCAAAAATATTGCAACTCAATGTTAGACAGGACAACATACAATAATCCTTGCATTTGATAAGAACGCCTATAATGCTGAAAGATCTCAGAGCACTTAAGGGAATTGTTGTCAAGCTTATTTGTAGACAAAGGTGGCAGTCAATTTTCACATAAGAAGGTTTCACAAACAGCTATGAGCTAAATAATATTTCTTGCATTTGATATAGAACCTCATCAAGTCTTTGAGACGTCTCAAAGCACTTCACAGAATATACAGTAGTGAATTGACTATATATTTTGTGGGCAAAACGCAGTAACCAACTGCACACAGCAATGTCGCACAAACAGTCGTAGATTGAGTGATCAAATTATTATTATAATAATAATAATAATCCTTGCATTTGATATAGCGCTTTTCACGTCAGGAGGACGTCCCAAAGCGCTTCACAGAACACACTGTAAAGTGAATTGACTATATATTTTGTGGGCAAAACGCAGTAACCAACTGCACACAGCAATGTCCCACAAACAGTCGTAGATTGAGTGATCAAATTATTATTATTTTTTAAATGATCAACTTATCCAGAACACCAAGAGAATCTCCCTTCTTTTCTAGAATAGTGTCATGGAATTTTTAACATCCATCTGAACAGGCAGAGAGGACCTCAGTTTAGCATCTCAACTGAAGGACAGTACCTCCAAGAGTGCATTGCTCGCCAATACTACACTAGTGTGTCTAATTGGACTATGAGCTCAAGTCCCAACATCAGGCTTCAACACGAAACCTTCTGACTCACAGGCAAGAGTGCTAGAAACTGTGCCAAGCTGACGATTAAAATTTGATATACCTAAAGTATGAGCAAAGTTTTGTACTAAACTAGATGATTTTCAGTGGATTCTCTGACAGCTGCAGTTATGCATTCTTGTGGGGCGTAATTCAATCAGTCAAAGCATTATCAAAGCCTGTACCATCAGTGCACAACAGTCCATTACCCTTCCTCAGCAAGTATAACATTAATTCAATCTTCGCAGATTACAATTCAGAAGATCCAGTAGATGCAGTTGGTAACTACAGTATTTTTGCATTTTGTGAGTTATACGGAAGGTTTGTTCAAAAAGCACATTTTACAAAAAATGTCAGATTGTTTGTTACTTGCAGAAAATTTGTGAAAGTTCTGCAGGCAGCACAAGTCCATTTGCCTTTCCTGCACCAACGGTCTCACTCTGTGAGTAGTTGCTGAAGTTGAGTGTTACTTTACTTAAACCTTTACTTGTTGTAGACAGCCTTGAAAACTTGGTATAGAATAGACCCAGTCTTATAATTCAGTTTTTGGATTCTGAGGTCCCTTCTCTTCATAGACTTGCTGGGCAGCTCAACTGGCATGAGCACCTGCCCTCCACTCAATCCCTCAGTGTTTTGTTCTGCTTTCCCCTAACATTGTATCTCCCGTCACACATTAGGGAGACTGGATTAGAGCAGCTTTATCTGAAGTTTATGAATAGATGAGAGCTCATCACACCTTCTTACAAAATGTTATTGGGTCTTTCAACCCAATTTTCCCAGCTTCCTGTCCGTAGAACTTTGCAGTTCAGAAGAAGGCAATTCAACCCATTGATGTTTGTGGTGGTTCTTTGAAAGAGCAATCCATTAAGTCCCCTTTACCTGCATTTTCCTTCTGAAAGCCAAGAGGGAACTAGATTACAAAGGAAGATTCATTTAACAGTCATGCAAAACATTCAAAATCTTCCGAGGATTCAGTTCCCAAATTTCATGAGGGTAAATTCCTTGCCTTGGCCAACATGTGACTGCAGAATCTATTACTTAGTGAATACAACAAACTCAATAAAGATTACACAAAGGAGAGGACATTTCCAGTACAGCTTTGCACATTCAAGTAACGTGTAATTAATCTATGCATCATTGCTGTATTTTCTAGACACCGATGTTTATAAAATGTATACATTCAATTACGTAAATTAAGAAACATTCTGCCATTCATTGTAGAATTCTGGCAAGAATTTTAAAAGGATTTTATTCAATATTGACTAGATGCTCAAAAAGCTCCACGTGTTTCAAATGATCGTGCAATTTTAGTCCGTCTTTAAATAATTTTAAATACTTTTATGTCCAGATGCCCAATGGTCACAACACAGGAATAGTGACCGGTTTATTAACAAGACTTGTTTGTGGCAAATAACAACAACATGACAGTCCTGGGATATGATATAGCACCTTATCACGTTGTGATCAACAACATGAGACATTCATCAATAATAACACTCCTTCCCTCCTTCCCCTTCCTCACACCTTCTCTCCCTCCCCTCCCAACTGAACTCCATCCCTACCTCCTACCTTTTCTCCTTTCCCCCTTCCTCCCACTATCCCCTCCCTCTCTCCCACCTTCTCCCCATCCCTTCCCTCCCTCCCACCTTCTTTCCATCCCTTCCCTCCTTCCCACCTTCTCTCCATCCCTTCCCTCCTTCCCACCTTCTCCCCTCCTTCCCACCTTCTCTCCATCCCTTCCCTCCTTCCCACCTTCGCCCCATCCCTCCCCTCCTTCCCACCTTCGCCCCATCCCTCCCACCTTCTCCCCATCCCTTCCCTCTCTTCCCTCCCTCCCACCTTCTCTCCGTCTCTCTCCCTCACACCTTCCCTCCATCCCTCACACCCCGAGGGCGCTGACCCTGAGCGGCGGCGGGAACACGACAGCAACTTCACCCCACGCGACGGCGCCTCGGTGACCCGAAACTTTCCCGCCCGGTCCGGCCCGGCCGCCGCCGGTTTTCTCGCCGGTAATAACATTTCTGTGATTAACAATAACAACAACAACAACCGCGGAATAACGTAACGAGACGAGACTCACCGAAGACACGGAGCCAACCGTGGTGCACACTGGCCGCCAGGTACAGCAGCGACTCGGTCTCTATCCCCCCCTCCATAACCGTCCGGCCGCCGCCGCCACATCAGCGCGAGCCGCGACCCGTCCCCGAGGTAACCGGCGCCGCCGCTCGCTGTCAAACCCGCCCCGCGCCGGCTCCTGCCTAACGGCCGCCCGGGGTCCCGCCCACCGCGCGCGCGCGCAGTCCGATTGGCTGGCGGACAGTGACTGACAGCCACCCCCGAGCCACTGAGAAGCCCGCTCTCCCGCGGGCGGACTGGCCAATCGGGGAGCCCCGTCGTCCCGCTGATTGACAGTCCCCTCGCCCATTCAGGAGCCGCGGGCGGGATTGATTGACAGCCTCCCGGGCCACACGGGAGCAGCGGGGGTGGGGGGGGGCGGGTTGGCGTGGCGGACAGCCAATCCAGCGCTGGCGGGGCGGGGCGGCCCTCCCCCGGTGGGCGGGGAGACTGAAGGCTGATCACACCTGTGACCAGGGGAGTAACCTGCATTGCAGGTCAGGTGCAGCGCCCGTCCTCATCCTGTGGTAGGAACAGGAGGAGGCCATTCAGCCCCGCCAGCCTGTCCCGCCATTCTGTCAGGTCACGGCTGATCTGCAGCTCGAGTCCAATTACCCGCCTTTGCCCCCCCTCCCATGCCCCTGAATGCCCCTGAATACCCCTGAATGCCCCTGAATACCCCCGAATGCCCCCGAATACCCCCGAATACCCCTGAATACCCCCGAATGCCCCCGAATACCCCCGAATACCCCTGAATACCCCTGAATACCCCTAAATACCCCCGAATGCCCCCGAATACCCCTGAATGCCCCTGAATACCCCTGAATGCCCCTGAATACCCCTGAATGCCCCTGAATGCCCTGACCTAACAACCCTCAGCCTCGAAGACGGGAGTGGATGCAGTATCCGCAGCCTCTTGGGGTGTAGAGGTCCAGATTGCCACTAAGGCGTTTGGTGAAAAACTGCCTCCTAATTTCACTCCTTACTGGCCAAGCTCTAATTTTAAGACTATCCCCCCCCCCCTGTTCTGGATTCCCCCACCAGAGGTAATAGGTTATCTGTACCTGCCCGATCGAATCCCTTCATTGTTTTAAAAGCCTCAATCAGCGATGGCCCACTGTTAAAATGAAACAAAATACGAACAGTGTTCATTTATATTCTGCACTGTCGCTCGCTTGACTGAAAAGTAAATAGTTAAACAAAATGTGAAGGCTTCTTGTCTAAAGAACATAAGAATTACTAGACAAACGACCAATGTCCATCCAGTTCGCCCTCTGCCTCCTGACAGTCGCACGCACATGTCATGTCCCAGACTATATACTGTATCCTGAGATATTATATCATAACATAAATCTATCTAATTTGTCTTCCTATCGTTTTACTCCCAGGTGAGCTTTTTTGTCCTCCCATCACACCATCAAGCTGCTGCTTAAATGAGTCCCAGTATCCTGGCCTCAACCACCCTTCCTGGGAACCCTGGTTGATTCACCCCCTGGGTAAAGAACAACTTGTCCTATCTTGTCCTGAAATTCACATTTTTAACACATTTTCTGATCTCAATTCTAAACGGTTTAAGTATGGTTTCAAAGAAATCTTGCCAGAAACTTTCCATTTCAAGTGTCAGCCAAACAAAGTTGTTCCCAAAGCTCATTGTCCTCTTTGCTGGACACAATGCTCAGGGTTGAGTTTTGCGGAGCTAGGACATTGTGTGAGGAGTTATGAACATCAGTGTGAAAATTGGTTTCAGAAATCATAAGCAACTAAATCATAGTTACTTATATTCAGCACCTAAGGAAGGGTATATAGATCACATTCTATGGCACCTGTCCATTCCAAGATCACAAAATAAAGTAAATGTTGATGTTAATTTATAACTAAATCCACGCAGTTTGCAATGCAGATTCAGTTAGCACGCTGCTTTGAATTTTTTCCCCACTGTGCTGTGTTTTCTTAAAACGACTACAATTTCTTAGTGAAACTGAAAAGTGTTTCATAGATTATCATGATCACCAAATATTTAAATCTTTAAACATTTTGAACACCTTTAAGGGACTTCCAAAGCATGGTAGCCTCAAAGGTATTGCTCCCGTCTTAACTATTGTTTTCCCTACTCAGCCAAGCCTTGTTACATGCCACTGAATAAATCAATCAACATTTGCATAAATGACTTGCTGTATTTCCATGCGGCTTTTGACACTGGGTAGGAGAGAGCTTTGCACGGATACGATTGAAACAACAGCACGCAATGCAAAACATGGGCTTTTGTTATGGCAATGCAGAAAAAAAATTGTAAAATCTCTATGAGACCAGGAAAAAAATGTTTAAAAAGGGAGCATTCATTTATATTGTGCATTTTCATGTGACTACAACCTAAACTTGACCTGCCCAGTGGGGGGGTTAGTGGGGGAGGGTTAAGCTGTGGGTAGGTTTAGTTCAACTGTGCTACCATTCCACAGATACAATACCTTCCCTGTTGCTCAGGCAAGGTACTGGAAGACGATGATGATCTCAGAACCACAGGGAAAGAAGCTTGCCTGGGAGCAAGGAGATAGGAAGACAAGAAGCCTTCAATTTTGTTTAGTTATATACTTTGCAGTCAAGCGAATGACAGTGCGGAATATAAATGAACCCTGTTTATATTTTTTTTATTTTACAGGCACAAGACGGCTATTAGCGGCACAGAAATAGCTGGGTTGCAGAAAGAGGCAAGCTGAGTGTCCCGAGACGTTGTGTTAGTTTTAGTCATTGCTCTGACGCACTATTTTTCCGACTTAATAAGCAAATATTACTTGACCTGTGCAAAGAGCTAAAAGAGGATTTGTAGAGTGAGGCTCTCAACAATTACATCAATGCTCATGTCTGTGCTGCCTGGTAATTATCACAGTGCCAATTCTATGCAAGAAACTAGAAGTGCTGGCAATGTCATCACTAATCATTTGTTCTCAAGGATGATTTGATACGACTGTCGCACACTCATCCAGGGCACACCGCAGTGCAGTGGGGGCACCTGTTCACACTATCTAATTGCTGGAGTTCTCAGGAAATACAGGTTACATGGGTGTATGACATCTTTAAAGCCTTTGATTAGACAGAGGAGGGTCTGAATATTTAACAGGTAAAAGTGAATTCAATTCAGAATTGGATATCTACTTGAAAATCAAAAAAAATTGCAGGGCTACAGGTTAAGAGCGGGGGAGTGGGACTAGTTGGATAGCTCTTTCAAAGAGCTGGCTCAGGCCCATGGGCTGAATGTCCTCCTGTGCTATAAGATTCTATGATAATAAAATAATTTGGTCACTCCATCCATGAATGTTTGTGCGAATTGGGCTGTCATGTTTCACCCATAAAATATACAGTCAATAGAACATTCTGTGAAGCGCTTTTGAGACATCTCGAAGACATGATAAGGTGCTATACCAAATGCAAGGATTATTATCACTATTATGAATCTATGAAGTACAGGGAGGATTTTATTGAGAAATGGATGCGCAGAATTTTCAAACACTTTTTCAAAATCTTTTGGCATTTTCATTTTCTTTGCAGACAAGTGTCACTCTTTAATCAATAGGTGTGAGCCTGGTGTCCTGGCCAACAAACTGCCTAGATAATTTGAGTAATTCACTTCATGAGACACAAGTAAAAAGTCTGTGAAATGTAGTGACTGTGTATTTGTACATGAACTTCTCCTGAAGGTGTTCTGTGCTGACCCTGGAGTGGCTTGACACAATCAAGATCATCTGTTATAACACGCAAATAGACGGATTATGCAGAGTACACTGACATCTCTGATTACTGATAAATCCCACTCAGTAACGTCCTTACACTAATACCTACCATTCTCGTTCCCTCTATAAATTTGTCTCTAATCTTTTCCATTCAATTCACCAGCCTTTTACTTGACCTCCTCAAACTCTCCTTGTATGAATCTTTCCCATGTGTCCCATAGACCATTCAGGCATGAAGTGTCCAATGCAAACAGCCATGAAATGAATGAGCGGTTTTATCAGGACAAGAGGAGAATCCCTTTTCTCTTTTTCAAACAGCATCATTGGATCTTGAATTACAATCTGAACAGGCAGATGGGACCTTGGTTTAATGGCCTACTGAATGGCCTATTCCTGTTCCTATGTGGGGATTATTAGTCTCTAGAAAATGATCAACCAATCGACTAACAACCGGATTCCTACTTACTGTTAGGTAAACAGAGGCGTGTGGAGTAAGGAAACTTGCCTAAGGTTTCACCCCCCACCCAAGAATCGAACCCGGGTCCTCTCGCTCACATATTTCAGAATCACTAAATTGCATGTGAGATTTCATAATAATAAAACAACAGATCTGCCCATTCATTTTTTTATTGAAGTTCAGAGAATTAACCACAGGGAATATTCCAACAAACTAGTCATTACAATTTTATGGAAATACAAAACATGTACTGTATATTTTGTGGGTGAAACACAGCAGCCAATTGCACGCAGCAGCGTCCAACAAACAGTCATGTATTGAGTGACCAAATTATTAATTTTTTAAAAACTGGGAGAGAGAGAGAAACTCTCTTCTCTTTTCCAAAAGCACTGCGGGATCTTCAATGTCCCCTGAATAGGGCAAACGCCTGGGACCTTAATTTAAGTGATGATAAAAAGGCCTGGGTGACACACCTGTCCGTTCTGCTCAGGGCCTTTGGTTTCAATCCAAGCTTTATGAACTTACAGGGGATGAATGTGTAAATGGGTTTATAAAACTAATTATAAAATGAATACAATTAATTAAAGTCCTTAATGATTTTATGCTGTTAAGTGGAACGGTCGTTTGCAACTATTCAGAGACTATATCAATCCCTGGATAGGGGTATTAAAGATTCGTTTCACTATGTGGTTGAAATGCCTCAAAGGGCTTCACTGGATGTACTGAACGGAGTGTTGAAACAACCACGATGAGAATTATATACATTTTCCTCCTAGCTTTAGGAATATCCAAATCAAAACAGAACAAGTGGTCAGTGAGGTCGGGGGGTGCAGAGGAGTGCAGGGACGTGAATACAAGGGTGAGGATCTTGAAATCGATCCTCTCTGGGATAGGCAGCCAGTGCAGTCTGGCCAGGACTGGGGTGATCGGAGAGCGGAGTT